TGGAAATTGGGCACAACAAACGAATTTGCTTTCCACCTTTCATGAGGCTATGGGTAAGTCAACACCCAGAGCTGTGCCAATGTGGCAGGGTTCAACTTCTACAGTAACACTCCAGTAAATACATCAGCTTCAAAAATAGCTGCCACAAAAACACTGGGAAGTGAAGCACCCCTCTGCAGAGACTCCCAGGGGCCAGCTCCAAGCCACATGCTATCCAACAATATATTTAAATATAAAGAGACCACGGACAAAAAGATATTGGCAGAGTGGTGAATACCTATGAGAGCAGGGCAGTTGGACAGAGCGAGCTGCAGCACTTGGCGAGCTGGGACATTTCAAATAAAGCAGCCTGTGAGTGTCTGACAGCTATGGAGCTGGTGGCACGTAAGCATTAAATCTTCTGAAAGCATTTAGAGCTAGAATTGTGCCTCTTTGACTATGGTAAATACATACTTGTTTTTGCCTTTTACTTTAACATGGTTTAGCCAGCTATCTTGGACTCCTGCAGCAGTGTGGCAGATCTAAAAGCCAAGTTACCTGCACATGCAGCAAAAATAGCAGGAGCATCCTTAGGCACTGAGAAAGGGTGTTCTATCCTTCTAAACACTTTCTAACCTCATTTTTAACATCAGCTCTTTTCCCTCCTTTTTCTTTATAGGTGAAGAGTCCCTTAGTCACCTCAGCGAGCTAGGGCACAGATTCGGGATTAACCATATAACAGGGCTGTGTTGAGTCATTTGTCCTGTGTTCCCTGCCACTGGGTTCAGAGATACAAAACTCAAATACGGGAAGCGGGGGACTGCTCCCTCCCCGGGAGTTTACCTACTTCCACATTTCTTTTGTGTATCTAAGTCACTGCATTCCTTCTACCAGCTACCTGAGTCATTTTCAGGCCTTATACAGCGTACACACTTTATATTGCAAAAAGGAGTGACTGTACTAATATCTTACTGGACTTGCAACTTTTTATTTATTTATGGCTTTTCATAAAGCAGACTGGTATCTGCCAGAACAAAAAAAAGGCATCTTATAACCATGTGAGAAACTATTCTCCCCCAACCCCCCGCCATGAAAATGCTCTGACTGCTTTTCTAAACACCAAGCAACACCAGATGCCAGGGTGTCTAAAATAGCAACTACTGAGCAAAACTAGTTTAACTCTGCAGGGCAGGAGGCCATAATATAAAGCTCTGAGCATGCACTGTGTGGCTGATCTGACCATGTAAAGCGAGTCTGACCTGTTGAGTTTGCTGTATACACAGGTCAGCTCCATCTCACTAGCTATCAGGGCAAGGAGGTGCCTTATCACACCGACAGCAAGTCCTTTTCTCCATCACCTTTCCTTAGCTTGGTGACTGGCAGGCATCAGCATGCACAAAACAGCTTGCTCCCAGAAAAAGCTGGTAGCAAACAGGATCCACTATCCCCAGATGTGGTGAGCACGTAGGAGATGTGTTTTTCCTCCATATCTGGCATGGTGAGACCGATACTAAAATAATGTGGATAAGTTATGTTCAGACTTTCCAAAAACATTCTAAAATTGGAGAAGGGAAACAAAAGACCTATAAAAATTTCTTAAGATATTGAGATACCATCCTGAAGCACAGACATAAAGAAGATGGCCCATGTTGTGTCCTAAAGGTCTGAGAGGTAGGTAAGGCTAAACCACATCAGAGACTGACTAGTCCTTTGAAAGTGAAATGCAGGGAAGGAACCAGTGGCTGCAAACCTGCATCAGAAACAAGAGGAACACATTTTTAAAGGAAATGTGGGGTTTAATTTATTCCTAGAGCCAGCTCCCGAAGGCGGTGCGTGATGAGTTCTCCTTCTCCTGTATGGAGGAGATGGACCTGCAAAGCACAGGAGAACGCATGGACCTGTAAAGGCTCAACAGCTGGATGCTTCCCTTTTGGTGCTGAAGGCACCATGACTGCAGCCTGCAAGAGAATTCCCTTCCCAGAGCCCAGGTAAAGGGCATCGTGCTCCTGCTGGGACCTGTGCTTGTGCTTCAGCCTCTTCCCGTGTCTCTGCACCCACCCGTGTGCCCATTGTTCCTCAGCTTGAGCCTCTCGTTGGCAGGCAGGCTGTAGCCAGAGAGCTGGATCGCCCGCAGCTGGGGGCTGAAGATGGTGTTGGCCATGTTGATGTTGATGGGCGACTGCATGGTGCCCCCGCAGTCCTTGTAGTCCTCACTCCAGCGATCCCGGTCTGGTATGAGGAGGAACAGAGGGAATGAGACCACACAGGGAAGGAGCCAGGAAGGAGGTTTAGAGGGTGGTGGGGAAGGGGACAGGCACCGGCCAGGGAATAAGCCGTGCTTTTAAGGTTAGTTTCCATCAAGTTAGCTCAGCAGCAGCTCTGTGCCACCATATGACTGCATGCAGCTGTATCAGGAAAGGTCTCGGAGCGCGGTGAGCTGCCAGGAAAGTCTATTTTTGGGGTGTTTGGGAAGAGCGCGAGAAGATCATTTACAAGTGGACTTGGCAAGGCGAGAGGCTGCTGCTCTGCAGCTCCTCACACGCTCGCTGCCTCGCACAGCCTGGCCTCTGGCAGGTGTCACCCATAAGGCTACTTGAACCATGTACCACAGTGCTGCTGGGATCACACGAGCCCACAGTCGCAGGTCCGACGGGCTGTTAACTGCAACAGGTATAGACCTGCAGAGGGCCATTTCACATGCCTGGGGTGGCTGCTTAGCTTGCCACTTCTCCCCAGTGCCATAGCTGGGATAAGCACACATGATGCCCCAGAAACCTCCTGTTGCAACATAGGGGACTGCTTCCAGCGCATCTTGTGCCAGTGCAAACCCAAGCTTATCTGCAGGCCAGGCTCTCACAGGACCCTATAAAGGTGGAGCTGTGCATTAGCAGGTCCAAGCCAGCCCCTGGTGCTTAGCAGAGTGATGGTGCTGGGACCTGGCCCACCACTGCAATGGGAAGAGGTGCATTAGTGCTAGCAATGCAGTGATGCTGTGGAGAAGCCCCCAAGCTATGATGGAAGGGCAAGGCCAGGCGGGGAGCAAGGCTGACGGAGGTGAGGACACAAGCTAATCCCTGGGCAGGTCAAAGTCCCAGCACAGGCTGCAAGTCCAGCTTAGAGAGCTCAGCCTGCTTCCATTGGCACAGGGTCAGGGAGAAGCCCTGCCCTAAGGGGCGTCCCCCCACACCCATGGGACTGGGGAAACCCTTGTCAGAGCCCCTGTTTCCTGCTCAAATCAGAGCAGCCCCCAGCTCCTCAGCCCATCTGAGCCTAGGTTTGGGCACTGGTAGAGTGATGGGGTCAGGAAGGAGGGAAGAGTGAGCCAGAGTGTGCACAGGAGCCCTGTAATCATTAACCAGAGCTGGCTTGGGCCCAGGGTGTGCTGGGTGGCAGGAAAAAAGCAGAGTAACTGCAGGGTATTTACCTTCATAGCTCCAGTGAGTGTGGCCAAGACCTTGGGAAAAAAAAAGAGAAGAGAAAAACCCACATGAATGGAAGGGAAAGGTTGGCAGCAAACACACCTCAGCCAGGCAGCGTTCCCAGATACGGTGGCAGGTCTTTGGGCTCCACTGCCTTTAATTCCCCTCCCTGCCTTCACTGTCCCACTCCTTCCTTGCCCAGAAGAGGGGGATGCTCCCAGAGGGCACTGTCTCCTCCGAGCAGGGTCAGATCTCCCGCTGATGTCGGTCAGAGGGAAAACCCCAGGGCTTGAGGCTTTGTTATCATCTTTATAATGGAAAAATAAGAGATACTGGCTTTCGTCACTGAGCAGCTCCTGCAGCCACCTCGGAACAGCCAACACCTCACACTGTCCCAGGACAAAGCACTTAATGAGGCAGGTCTGCAGCTTCCCTGCTCAGGCTCTGTAAGCAAGAGCGACCAGGGAAGTTCCTGTCCTGATGGCACTCCTGTGGTGCTGGAGCGCTGGAGGAGGAATGGGGAAGAACATCTCCTACACCGTGAGGAGCTTGGGCCTTGCACTCTGCGGACACTCTCCTCCCACCAGGACTTGCAGCAGAGGAAGCAAATGAGCACCAAAACCTTGTCTTCCTCGTCAGTGAGCGTCCCTACCACAGGGGCAGACTGCCACAGGAAAACATGTCAGACCAAACATCTACCTCCCATCACAATAGCCCCTGCCCCAGCCCACCTGACCACCCCAATTCCCACACAGAACCGCCTAAGGTTCATACCATGCACAAGCCCTTTACCTAGGAAAAGCAGGAGGGAGCCCAAGCCAGGAGCTCTGTGTCCCCTGTCTCACCCATGGGGCACACAGTGGCAATGGCAGGGCAGGATGTGCCCTGGTGTGTTCTCCCATGGCTGTGGGTGTCCGCAGTGTGCCCTCCTGGGGCAGGTCCTGAGGGTACAACCATGCTCCCTCCACACATCAGCCCTCACACCATTGCTCACACCAGAGCTGCCAGCAAACCCCAGGCTCCCAGCACATCAGTGAAGCTGGCCATAGAGGTGCCCCAGAGCTGCTTCTCACATGCCCGTGACCATATACCTTGGTTATCACCAGCTCTTCTTCATGCAACCAGCTCCAGTCAAAGGGTTGCAGGGTTTGGATATGCCCCAGGCAGAGAAACATGACTTGTAAGGATCATGCCCCTGCCCTGACTGGCAGGACAGGTAATCTGTGGGCTCCACATCTGATTTCTCCTCACCAGCATGTTGGTCAGTGCAGACAGGCTGTTGCCTCATCCCAGCCCGCAAGGGCAGGAGTGGAGGGTGCCAGGTTGGGATAGGCTTTGAGCAAAGAGGTGCACACATCTGACAGCAAGGGACAGCATTACACCCACTTCCATCAGCTCCCCAAGGATGAAGGACTCAGAGGATCATTTCGTAGGTGCAGCCCAGCCCATGGGCCATCTCTGCCCTTTGGTAGGGCCGGGACACGGGAGGGGCTCAGCAGGCACTGCTCTGGTCCCCTTCCCTGCTGCTGCCAGCAGCTATCGACAGCCGCTTGCTATTAATAGGAGCAGATTCCAGCTCAGGGGTGAGAAAGGAAGAGGCACACTTTCCCAGGCCCAGATGTCCTATGCGAGCCCAGGCTCAGCAGGATCCTGCTCTGCTCTCAGCGAGGATCCAGGCATGCTGGGGGCCTCTGGTGCAGCTGCCATGGCAAAACCGGGCTGGAAAAGGGCTGGAGGGTGCTCAGGGGCACCCAGCATTGCTGGAGGGAGCCCAGAGGGCTGTTCCCATCTCTGCATCACCAATGACTCATCTCTGCAGCACTTCTGACGCTCAGGAGTGATGCTTGGAGTCACTTGCCCAGGCACAGGGTACTCCTAAAGGCATATAGAGAAGGGGCAGCAAGCTGAGGGCTGGGCAAGCTTGCGTTAGGCAGGAACACGTGTGCCCTGGGACGGGCTGCAGTGTCCTCACCGTGCCTGCTGGTGTGGCATAGCCCTGGGATGCACTCAGCATTCATCCAGCCCACCTTGCTCACACAAAGGTTACCTTGTCCCTGGACACTGGCCATGGACCAGAATCCGGAGTACACCCACCCTCCTCTGGAAACACCACCACATCCTGTCCCCATCCTCCTGCCCTACCTGCACTATCTGCATGAGGTGGTTGCAGCCTGTACAAAAGAGCCACATTTGCTGCTTTCTAGGTAGGATTCCCCTCCTCCAGCATGGGGAATGCCCTGGAGCACTGGCTTTGGGGCAGTCCCGGCACACGTAATGCACCGCAGTCCAGGGTTGGTACATGGTGCCCTGGCTCTCTGCACATGCCTCAACTGGCACAGCCCGCCCTGGCACCCCGCTTTGTGCTCGCCTCCAGGGACCCTGCCTTGACAGAAATCAGCTCCATCATCATGTTGTAGATTGAGCAATAGCACCGTGCTGGTACCTGCCTGCTGTGTCAGCACCGTACCACCCACCCCAGCTCCCACATCCCTCTGTGCTCATCTATTCTCACAGCCAAGGGGGCTCTGGACCCTCCTCTCAGCCTCCCACCACTCAGCTCAGCAGCTTTGAACACCCTGAAGGCTGCAGCTGTACGCAGGAGTCAGTCCAATCCACCCCAACACAATGGATTTCCCTGGGAGTCTCTTGGCATCAGAGCCACAAGCACTTGCCCATGCACTGAGGCCACCCGAGTGTGTTTCCCCATCCCATGGATGTGGGTGCCCCGAGGGCTACCCACTCAGGGAGGCACCTCGAAGCCAATCTGTTCAGGGTTGGGTGCCCTTGGCACATGCACCAAGTGCTGCAAGAGAGCATCAAGGCAAGCCCACCCTGGATGCTCAGCATCTGTCCCTGCCTCAGCATGGCTCAAAGGAGACCTGCAATGCTCCGGGCCCTTCCACTTGGGGCATTCACAATCTCACAGCCCTTTGCCATGAACATTAACCCACTGCCCTGCCCCAAAACGTCGACTTGCATAATTCCAGTCTGCCTCCCACATTCCCTGCTGCTGGAGCACATCTCCCTTGGAAAGTCATGTGGAGCCAGGTCTCCTTGCTGCTGAACTGCTCACCACAACAGATGTGGCTGCACCTCGGCTGCGGGTGCTGCAGCTCTCTGCATGCCCTGCCCTACCTCTGAACACACAGAGATATAGGGGGAAGACAACCTCGCTGCTGTGATGAGCAAGAAGAGGGCTCCTCGCAGGGGTCCTGGCAGGAAAACATAGTAGGGTACCAACAGGAGCTACTGTTGGAGAGAAAGCCTCCGTGCGCAGCCATGCAGAGCCCCTCACACCCTAAGCTAAGCACTAAACACCACCCTCCTTCCCCCAGCAGCCTGAGATTTCCCCTTTCACTCACTCCCTCCTTCATGCTTTTCTCCCCCTACTGCTCACTCCCTCCCGGCCCTCCCATTCTGGGATACCGGCGCTGCCGCAAGCGCCGGCCTCCTTCCCTGCTTGACATTCAACACCGTCCAACAACACTTTCCTGCCGAGTTCAGGCAGACGCTGCCATTACCAGCGTGCTGCTCTGCATGTCCTGCAGCCCGGAGCAGCTTTTGGCAGGGTGAGGAGCCAGCACAACCACAGGACGCTGCAAATCCCACACAGGAAAGGCACCGATGCAGCAAGCTGCTCCCAGGAGACCTCAGCATGGGGACACAGGGATGCACCACACTGCCAAGGGACTCAGGAGCATTTGGACAGAGCAAGAGACAGAGCCAGGCAATAAGGATGATCAGAGGGTCTGCCCTATATGTCTGCCCCCTCCATCCTCGCATTTTCGTAGTTTAGGGGGCACACAGCCTAAGGCTGCTGAAGGGAACCTGACAACACTGAAACCATGTGTGCCATTCAGAGCACGGATGCTGCCTGGCAGCAACGTGGCCATTGGTATCCACCAGGAATTCCATCAGGAGTTTGATGGCTTGTGTGTGATGGGCAGGGCAGTGGGCTCGCACCTAGCTCAGACACCCTGCTCTTATCAGCTGAGCACATCGTGCCCTGTGCTCAGCCACGGGGATCCTGACAGAGCCTCCTCTGCCTGCTGGGACCCTGCCCTGAGTCAGTTCTGCCCTGTGGGATGAGGCTGGTTTGCAGGGGATGGCAGGTCAGGAGCACCTTGCTGTGCCCCCAGGCACTAAGCCCGTGTCTGCAAATCAGTCCCAGCGGAGCTCAGGGCCCAGAAAAAAGGGAAATCTAGGTGATATTCACAATGCTCAGTGAGCCAGGATGTGCCAGACCATGCAGAGATGCACAAAATGCAGGTCCCAAAGCAGGGACCAGCCACAGCAGCCAGGTCCCAGAGCACAAAACACATCCAGGCACCATGTCCCTTGAAAGCAATAACCTAATCACGGTACCTGGGCTGTGCCGCTGTGCTCACGCTGCCCACAACCAGCTCCCAAGGCCATGGCACAGGCACGGAGTTTGCACAACCCCAGCATCCCTCTTCCAGAGCCTACAAGGAGTCTCCCTACGGGAAGGCTGTGCTGACCCAGCCCTACTTTTGCCAGCACAGCCCTTGTTTCTCCATCCAGACACATACCCCATGCAGCACCTGCATCCTTTCAGTTCAGAACACTACCCCATGTGCTGCCCATGGGGGCACTGATCCCTCCCGAGCCTGGGTGCATTAAAGCCCCTTTGTGTTTATAAACTCAAGCCAAAGGGATCAGCCTTTAATCTGCCACTGGCAGCACAGGTCGCTGCAGGGATTGTTCTTTGTGCTCCTGGGCTGCAGGGCCCTAGTCTGGGCCAGCTCCATGTCACAGGGGCGAGGGTTTGCGTGGAGGAACAGGACAAACTTTACTTGAGGGCACATACCTACTCACTGTGAACCCAACTGCCCCAGCTAGGGGGAAAAAGGAAACAACTGCAGATCACCGCAGAGAAAGGGCCATCCCAGCAGAAGGAACAGAAATGGGGAAATCCCAGGAGACAGATCAGAGAATAAGATGAATAAGGGGTATTAAGCAAGAGAAATGGGTTCAGCTGGACAGGAGCATCAGGGAATGAGCAAGAGGACACAGA